GGGTTTAATAACTTCACTCTAATGATGAAGTACCGCTAAAAAGTGTTTCATGGCTTTAATAACTTCACTCTGATGGCGTGAAGTACCGCTAAAGAGTGTTTCATGGGTTTAATAACTTCACTCTAATGATAAAGTACCGCTAAAAAGTGTTTCATGGCTTTAATAACTTCACTCTAATGACGTGAAGTACCGCTAATGAGTGTTTCACGGGTTTATAACTTCACTCTAATGACGTGAAGTACCGCTAAAGAGTGTTTCATGGATTTAATGATTTCACTCTAATGACGTCAAGTACGTTAAAGAGTGTTTCACGGGTTTAATAACTTCACTCTAATGACGTGAAGTACCGCTAAAGAGTGTTTCACGGGTTTAATAACTTCACTCTAATGACGTGAAGTACCGCTAAAGAGCGTTAAATAAATGAGCAACTCTACTTAAACCGTGCAACTGCACAAACTAAAAAGTGCTATTTAGTTGTATTTAGTAAATCGTGCATGTGGTACGCAAATTAAATCGTATTGATACAAATGAAGCATTCTTGCTTCAGGTCCACTTTTAGTACAAATTAGTACTACTTAGGTTTTGTACAGTTGCACGGTTGCGATCACAATACATTGATTACAATATTTTAATTTTTTTTATTTTGATTATGAAAGACTTCTTGGTCGAATTAATAACCAGATAGAAGTGCGACATGATGCTTGCATTCAAGACAAACAACAACACGGTAATGACAAAAGGCTATTTTAATTTTATGAAATTTAGTTATTCAGCAGTAAACGGATCAAATCCTATGCGTCTACATTCACATCAATTCATTAGAGTTGAAATTGAGATAGAAGAACTTTTAAAATGTTTAATGGATTMACTGCAGCTCAGATCATTCACAAAAAAAATATGATGGTGATTTTAAGGTTTAGTTTTTTAATGTTATCAAAAGTAGAAAGCAAATTAATCCCAATCTTTCTTAATGTCAAATGACCATTCCCACTCAAGAACGGAGTTTTTATCATCATCTGTGAACTTGCTTTTTGCTGTATAGTGCCCTCTTGCAAGCATGCCTGAAGGGGCTTCGTCTGGAGGTGCTAGAAATGTTTGTGACTCGGGTTTTGGACCATAGCTACCCACCATTAAGCTTGTTTTATCAACTGAAAAGAAAAGAACAGTCTGATGATAAATCTGTGTAACAAATTATAGTAAACAAAACTAGTTAAACATTTTAAAACTAGTTAAATTTCTAGCAGATCAACATACACCAAGGGGGATACCCCTTTTTAAAAATGTACAATAATAGATTATAACATAAATTGATAAACAAAAGAATAAATCTGAATAGAGGTTATTCCTAAAAGCAACTAAAGCAGAGTCTCCACCTCTTTCCACTTTAACAAGTTTTGTGAGTTATGTAATGCTCTTGATCTGCAACTCAAGGCACAAATGCTGGAATACCAAAAAAAAAAAACATGCTGCAAAAGAGAGGGTTGACTTGTAGCAAGTCTCTATGGTAAMCCAAACCAACCTAACCTAACCTAAACTATTTGGTGTTGACAACCTGAAAGGTTTTCCGTTTATCATCATTTTATTTATTTTTTCTCATTGTAACATTTAAAGCATTAGTGGATATAATGCGTGATATATATTTGTCTCTATTTATTAACCAATTGTCCATATCACAAAACTGTTATCTACTTGTATATAGCAGTGAAGTATTTGCGTACACTAATACAACATGCGCAGAGCTTCCCCRCCATGTTACCTCACCCTATTCATGSACATACATACAACAAGAACCACAAGTCATGAAACAAAAGAAATTAAACAACAGAATTGACAACTACCTAAAGTCTATTTTATATTTGAATTTGTATATCATGGATGTATATTAGCGGAGCTCCCGCGCGGGCCACCATAGCTAAGAAAAAATGGTATACCATCGAGTCGATTTTCCATGGACCGACACAGGGTTCCCGCGCGTATGCACGTTTCCGTCCGTCCTTCCGTCCTTCCTGGATTCCGTGTACCACCACAGGAAACCCATACTCCGCTCGAAAAGGAAACAAAGCGCCAAGTATTTGTTGAAAAATCGAAATTTTTTCCTTAAACATTTATATTACATATTGATAATATTAGAACAATTAATAACAAGGAAAAAATCCACTGAAGAGCGAAATAACAGCACAGAAATATTCCCGCCAATTTTGTCATAACTTCGACGCGTCCGCACATCCGGGAAATCGATTTGCGAAGATGAAAAGCAATTTAGGCCCATCTTAAAAGTGATATTAGAAA